ACAAAGGTAAGTGAACCCTTCAAGCACTGCTTCACATGGGAGGCAGGCTCACAGGAGGTCTCTGATGTTCTGGAAGAAAAATAGCTTCACTTCAACATTCCGCGCGATTGGCCGAAAGACCACAAGCTGGTGAGTTCACCCCTGGTTGTGCCTTTGCTTCGCGTGGCCATTCAGTTTTGTCTTCACATGGGGTTTGGTTCGCGGAGAGACTGATGCTTGCTAGCAGTTGCTGCCAGTGTGCAGTCCCCTCCCCCCCCCTCTCACAACTTGTCTCCACTTTCCTCCCTCAAGAGGACCCCCACCCCCCCTTTCACAGATGAGATTGGGCCTTCAGTGAGTAGTCGCAAGAAGTTTGGGAAGTGTTCGTGACTGACAGTTCTAGGGCATTGTTGTTCCCCCTCCCCCCCCTCCACCAGTTGTCACCACCCCCCCCGCGCCAGCTCAAGCTGTAAGTGCTTCTCACAAGCTGACATTGGTTCGCGTGTTGATGGAGTTAGGGTCCTGCCACTCTGCCTCCCCCCCCTGTGGTTGTTGCTCCAGCCCCAGCCAGAAATGTGAGTATTCTCTATCACATTTCAGTTCACAGCTAACCTTCTTTAGGTTGTTGTTGTTGTTCCCCCTGCGCCAGCAGGGTTTGTGGGTGCTGTGGTCCCGCGGGGTGCTTGGGACCGCCCAGCACCCCCCCCACAAGACCAACAATGGTGGTCCCAGACCACCTTCACCCAAATGCCGCCAGCTGCTACTTTTGCTGGTGCATCACAGGCCAATCCAGTGGTCCTCCCAGGCCTCCCCCCCCACACAGGGGCACAAGCTTTGTCTGCCCGCGAAAGGGCATGGTGTCACAAGCCTATCCAAAGACCCATGCTTATTGCTGGTTTGGATAATCCAAATCAGTTGACTGTCCACACCCAGCTCCGCGAGGGTATTCTCATGACTAGAGCTGGGGCCCAGCCACCACCAGGACAGGAGTGCTCTGCCTGCAAGAGAGCACAGCAGGGCTATGGCAACATAGTCTTTGCAGAGTGCATCTCCGCAGGCTTGGGTCAAAAATGTAACAACTGCCTATACCATGGGCACCTTGCTTGCTCTTTCCAGCAGTGAGGTTATGGGTAGTTGTTACAGGTCTTCGCAGGAGGAGCTGGAGGCTCTAATTACATAGTCTTAGTTTAGTTTTTCTTCTTTTGTTTTGAAATCAATTGAATTCAGTTCAGTTTGACTATGCCTTTTCTCTCCCTAACTCATTTTCTAGTTCCACTACCTCCATCCATCTCTTTCGCGAACCAGGCTTGTCCGGGTTCCTACTATGGAATTGTTGGAGTAGCTTTCTCAGTGGACAGACATTGCTCACAGGAACCCATGTCTTGTCCTTCTCATCATCATATCCTTCCCAATGTACTCTGTACCACAGCTCGCGACCCTCTCTCTTTGAGTCAATTATCTCACAGACCCAGTACTTCTTTTCATCCTCATCCGCCTCACAAACTTCATGATGAGGTGAGCTATCAATTCCTTCGTGGGTCTTGTGTTCACAGAGCAGGGATACATGAAAGACATCATGAGTTCGCAGACCTGGAGGCAGTTCCAGTCTGTAGGCTCGCGAGCCTATCTTCTCCACAATCCTACAAGGCCCATGCCTCAACAAATCCAGTTTTTTGTTAGGCCGTGCGGTCTTGATATTGCGAAGGTCAAGCCACACCTTGTCTCCCACCTGGAAGGCCTTCGCGGTGTGCTTCTGGTTATAGTACTTCTTCTGATAGGCTTGTGCCTTTGCGAGCAATTCCTTGACCTCTTCACAGAGCAATCTCATTGTCTCCGCCTGATCCCTTGAATCCTTGCACACATAGCCATACTCATCAGGGTCCAAGAATTCTGTTCGTGGATTCAGCCCATATGTCAGCTGGAAAGGTGATTTCTGTGTGGAAGCCTGTCATGAGTTATTGTACGCGAACTCAGCCATTGGCAACCACATCACCCAGTCATCCTGATCATAATTGACATAGCTTCACAGGTACTGCTCCAGCACACTATTCAGTCTCTCAGTCTGACCATCAGTTTGCGGGTGGAATGCCGTGCTCATTGCTCTCATGATCTTCAAGATGTGAGTCAAATCACCCCAAAATTCACTCGCGAACAGAGATCCTTGATCTGTTACTATGCTTGCAGGTAATCCATGCAATCTCACTATCTTGTGAATAAAGAGATGGGCCAATTCCTCTGATGTCAGCTTCTTTGTTGTAGGGATAAAGTGAGCCATCTTTGTGAACTGGTCCACTACAACCAGGATACAGTCAAACTGCACCTTCTCAAAATTCAGGCTCGCGGGGAGATCTGTAATAACATCCATGCTAATGGATTCCCAAGGGTAATTTGGGATTGGTAAGGGTGATAGTTCTTCTTGAGGCTTCCCGCGAACTCTTCTTGAGCCCTGGCAGACCCCACAGGCTTCGCAACACTCCTTCACCAGTTCTCTCATTCTTGGCCAAAAGTATTTGCGAGCTATAAGCTTGTATGTTCTTGCTGTAGCAAAATGCCCTGCGAGGGGTAGGTCATGATGATGCCTAATCAGCTCTATTTGCAGAGCCTCATTCTGAGGGATGTACACGCGACTATTCCTATAGAGGATACCCTTCTCCTCTTTCCACATTGCGAATTTCTTTGTGCCCGCCTTAATGCCTTCGCGGACCTCAGCTGCATAGTCATCACTTTGCAGTAGATTTGGCAGTGATGCCAACAGGTTGAAGCTGCCCTTTTCATAAGAATCCTCCTCACAGACCAGGTCTTTGGCCTTCTGGACCTGCATTGTGATCTTCTTCACTTTGCACATGCCTCCCAAGACAACCTTCATGAGTAGTTTCTTGGTCTCAGCCTGAAGCTTTACAGAGATGAGTTGTGCATTCTCATCTCCTCCCTCCCCTCTCTGGTTGGGAGAAACTTGGGCTGTTGGTTTCAACTTTTCTGTGGTCTCTTGCTCCTTCGCAAGCATTACCCTTAGTTGGTTTGCAGTCTTGTGACCCTCCTTATCATCTAGACCAGCCTCCTTGGCATAGTCAGGTCTTCGCGAGGGTCCATCTGCTGGGTTCTTAGTTCCTTTCACATGGTCAACTGTGAACCAAAAGGCTGTCAGCCTTTGCGCCCAGCAGACCTGTCTTTGTGAGAGATCTTGAGCAGTCTGGAAGTAGCACAGGCTATCATGGTCTGTAAGGACTTGAACTGGTGTTCACAAGCCTTCCAACCAGCAGCACCAGTATCTAAATGACTCCACAATCACAAGCAGTTCCTGATCATGAATGCCATAGTTCATCTCCGCAGGTTGCATCTTCCGCGAATAAAACCCAACTGGAACCCAGATGCCATCCTTCACCAGCTGTGATAGGATACCACACACTGTGAAGCCAGATGCATCTGTTTCCAATCTGGTCTTCCATTCCATATCAAAATGGTGAAGCATAACAGCTTCTGTGAATGCTCTTTTCAGACTTATGAAGGCTTCATAACCTTCCTCAGTCATGAAAGTGTTGGCTTCTCTCCTCATCTCTCTTCGCGCGTGTCTGCTTAGCTTTGCTTCTCCTCCCTTTAGGAGAGCAGTCAGGCCACAGGCTATCTTAGAGAATCTTGGGATGAAGTGCCTGTAAAAGTTTGCGAATCCTAAGAAGACCTGGACCTCTTTCTTACTGGTTGGCTCTGGCCAGTCAAGAATAGTGTCCACGCGGCTCTTCTCCATAAGAACACCCTCTGGTGTTATGACATACCCAAGGTAGTCAATCTCACAAGCATTGAACTTGCACTTTGCCAGCTTGCAATAAAGGCCTGCATCCTTGAGTGTCTTAAGTACCAATTTCACATGCTCCTCATGATCTTCCTTGTGAGCTGAGTATACAACCACATCATCAAGGTAGGCCACTGTGAACACATCCAGATATTCGCTAAGTGCCTTCGCGATATATGATTGGAAAGCTGCCAGTGTGTTTGTGAGTCCAAAGGGCACTATCAAGTACTCAAATAGCCCCTGTGGAGTCTGAAATGCAGTCTTCCACTCATCCCCTTTGTGAATCCTCAGTCTATGGTAGGTGTTCTTGACATCCAACTGAGTGAATATTGCAGCTTCTGCGAGCTTATACAACACATCTTCAATCAGTGGTAGGGGATATCTATTCTTGACTGTTTTTGAATTCAGGTCATGATAGTCCACACACATCCTTAGTCTGCCATTCTTCTTGGATGTGAACAGGATGGGTGCTCCTGCAGATGACTTGGAAGGCCGGATGAACCCATGGGTTAGAGCACTGCTCAGATATTTGTGAAGAGCCTCTTGCTCAGCTTGCGAAAGTCTGTATGTTCTTTCAAATCCTGGCTGCTTCCCTGGTTCAAGATCTATGGCCAAATCATCTTTGCGGTGTGGTGGCAGCTCCCAAGCCCTCTTGTTGCTAAACACTTCTGTGAGTTTGCGGTAGGCTTCCGGTATCTGGAGGTCTAGGTCTGCTGTCACCATCTGTTCTGATTCGCGGAGGGTCATCACATAGATGGGCTTCCCTTCTTCCACAAGCTCTGAGAGGTTAACTGGTTTAACCTTCGCGAGTGGGTTGTGACACACAGTTTGGAACTCTAGCCTTAGTTCCTTGAAACACACCTTGGGATTGTGTTGCTGCAGCCAGCTCAAACCCACTAGCATCTCATCTCTTATGTTCGCGACCATCACTTGTTCATGGAACAACTGCCAGTTTCCCTGAGAGTCACAGGCTTCAAAGGATATATTCGCAATCCCTTCCGCAAGGGTGACATTCTCATGATCCATAGCAGTTTCAATCTCTATAGGCATCTTGTGCACCTCTAGGTCTAGCTTCGCGGCCAATCGCGAACTGATCACTAGAGATTGACAGCCCGAATCTATTAGTGCTGACCAGGTAATACTCCTGTCAGTTGGGCTTCGCGCGCCTAGGACAATAGGGGGGAGAGCAAGGAGACTGTTCTTGGACAACTTCATTATATTGATTCTATCTACTTGCGGCCCCCCAACTTCCTATTCACTACCCTTCTTCTTCTTGGGACAGTCTTTCGCGAGGTGGCCCTTTTGGCCACACTCAAAGCACCTCCCATCCTTTTTCAAGGCTTTGTGATCCTTGGTAAGGTCCTTTCCCATCTTCTGAGCAGGCCTCTGGGGTTGACTCCTCTTATCCACTCGCGGCCTTGAGTCATTGGTCTTCATACCTCTGTGAGCACTTCCAACTGGATTGGTAGACTTCGCGTGTGAGGCATTCTTTGCATAGGCTACTGACACACTTGGTCAGAGCCAGGTGGCCAGTGCTACTATGTCATCAATGTCATCTGGTATCTCCAGCTGTTCATCCAGTTTAGTTCGCATGAGCTTATCCAAGCCCCATATAAACAGGTTCTTCTTCATTTTTGTGGAATCTTCAAATTCTTCGCCAATCTCTGTTGTGAGCTCTAGGAATTGTTGGTGATAGGCATAATCAGTTTCATCCAAACTTTTGCAAAGGCCAAAGATTGCTTGCCAAGAGTTTCGCGTGCGGTTTGCTGGGTCTCCTAGCCTTGCGCGTAGAAATTCTTTAAGGCCAGTCCAGTTGTTTTTTGATGGATTGCCTTCGCGGTGGGCCTCCCAAAGGTCTTTCTCAATATAACCAAGTCCTGTGAGGGCATACGCGAGGGTATCCTCATCATTCAGTTTGCTTGCGTCGCGAATGGATTCAATATCTGAGGTGAACTGGTGATATTCTGTGTAGGTTCCAGTCTGGTAGCGCTTTGTGTGTTGTGGTGGTCTCAAGATCGACAGACACTTCGCGGGTGTTGGGTTGGAGATGGCCATATCAAGGGATTCACTTCGCAAGTGCTTTTGGGTGTTCTGGAGAGCATTCAACTTCTCTTGCCATTTCACCATTTTCTTTAGTAGTTTGGTCTCCTCGCGAAGCTGTTGGATTTTGTCTTTTGGTGTTGGGGTAGACTCTCTCTCTGAGTTTGCGGTGCTTGTTTCATTGACAGTTGAGAGAGATGAGGTGTCAAGGTTGGTTGTCTCTTCGCGAACTTGGGTTTGTTCTTCAGGTAGGTTTTCGGCTGGTGTCCCAGGTTCGCGAGTTTCAGGGGGTTGGCTTCTTCGTGTTGATACCATTGTCGGGCGTCACCAAAGAAGAGTGGCAAAATGTGAGGATCGTACGTGTGGATCAGCGTGACAATGAATCTCTAGGAGGAATATACATGGAAAAAGAGTACGCGAGGCAAAAGGTCTGTATTCTGGCAACTATGTACAACTTGTAAACAAGATTGCCACTGGCTCCCAGCAAGGGGTTCGCGCAGTGACGGCCTTTTATGTGTGCTCGCGAGCACGTGACTTAGTGCCTCGCGAGGACACATGCAACTCCCAGCAGCTCGCGAGCTGAGGCCTCTGGCCCTCACGGGTGCTGTTCGTCCGTGTAAGGGGTTCGCGGCGAATCCTTACATATATAAATCATGACAAGACTCTAATATTTTAGCTTCTAAGCTGTTCTGAATAATTTTAATTAGCTTATCATGTAGAGCATGAGAAATTTAGTAAGTCTTAGTCTGCCAAGCCTCATAGGGCTCTGTTCAAATAATCTGGGGAGATAAGTATTCAGAATGAATGCTATATAGGTCTTTGAATAATCAAGCCAACATCTTTTTATATTTATAAAGAACTGATATGAAAAATTTCTTCTTCTGACTTGTTAGTTTGAATTCAATTTTAAGCTTCTCAATTCTCTTATTTGTTAGCCATTCTCCAACAGAAAAGAGTGTGATTCTAGATTTAATATAATTATCAAATTCATAATTAAATGTGACACATTTCTTCTCAAAGTAATACTTATTCAAATAAACATCCATCTAATTATCTAGGCCTTCTGGCTTGCTTCCATCTGATTTTCCAGGTGCTAATGGCCTTATCTTATCAGCTTTCCGCTTATAGGCAGTGCACACTCTTCAGACCTCTGAAGAAGACAGTCAAATGTCTTATTTACTATTAAAAATATCTATCTGACATAATTTCTTTACATCTCGATCTCAAACGTCCGCGAACCATGGGTGCTTCAGTGCTTGACGCGCCGTGATTCGTTTCGCAGGGTCTAGATTCATTAACCCCCGGATGAGATCCTTGAAAACTTCATCGCTAACATCCTGCCACTCTGAGAATGGCTTGTATGGAATGTAATCCTCAAAACGGTCTTCCCAGAGCATACCAAGAATCTGACAATTCCTCTCGTCATCCCCTAAATGCTTCATGAGGCCGTTGAGCCCGTCCTTGTCTCCGAAGTAGGAAACCTGACGTTGCAGGCGGATCATGGAAGGAAGCGCACCCTGTGCTTCGTGTTTTTTGAAATCATCGTCAGGACCAAAAATGACCCGGCCCAGCTCGGAATAAATACACTACAAGCACTTGTCAGCGAAGGACACTACGTAAGAGTGAAGACACTTACCACAACGCCAAAGGAGAACATATCAGTCGGTTTGTTGAGTTCACCCCTGAAATGAGCTTCAGGGCTGCGCCAGTTGTCGTTGCCGGCAAGCATCCCCTTGATACATCTGCCTTTTGGGAGATAAGCCGCGTTTTCAAGGTCGGTAACCTGAACCTGTTTGACTATGGTTGCGTCACTGGACTCTCTATCCCCTCTATTACCAGCAGTGCGGCAGTTAACCATGATATTATCTGCCTTGATATCTAAATATGGTTACATAAGTCAGGTCGGGTTTACTGTAGATGTGGCATAGCCTACCTAGATGAACGACATCCTGTTCATGGAGCTCGGCTATTCCTCTTAGGCAGGCCTTGAGAACCTTCTTTCTCTCTCGCATGGCAATTTGCTTCCTGATCAGACTCAGAAAGTCATCCGTCAGGTACTTGTACACAAATATGCGCTGGTCCACGATGGTGTCTAATGGCAACCGTATGTAAGGGCTCTCGCGAAGTTTCGGCCGTATAATTTCGTTGAAGTTAGAGAATATGTTTGTGGGAATATCTTTCAAGATAACCTGGTCTTGCCCAGATCTGTAATGGTGTTAGCGGACGAGCCGTATATGACGCGTGAAGAGGGATTTCCAACGTTGCCAGCCAAACGCGACCAATGTGAGGTCTCTCTTGAATCAACTCTTTGAACCGATAGCGGCACCCAGACATGCCAATCAGTTCATTGAGTGCAGATGCCATTTTGAGAGCATCCTTGCCCGGCATTTGCACTCTAGTTCTCAAGGTTGTGGAATCCTGTCAGAACTGTAGCAGGCCAACCAGTTACAAAGAAGGATGGCGAAAAAAGAACGAAAACACGGGACAGAGAAAGAAATTTATCTTGTCAAAATACAGAGAATGCACGGAGTAGGTGGCAGCTCAAAATTTCCTGGAGACGGCAGGAGATGCAATGTTGGCGTGGAGGAGTCTCAGAAGCTTGGCGGCGCGGTTAATACTGTATGACTGTACCTGATCCCACTACTCTTGAGAAGACACAATAGTCTTGCCCTGACTCTGATATACCTGCACAGAAACCCTTTGTCATCAGAGCAAGACTGCCCACTCAATCAGAGCATTATTGAATTATTGATTACTACCTCCAATCTGTTGTTGCTCTCTTTGAGTTCTTTGACACCCTCAAAAACCCAAAGAACCCAGAGAGGTTTCCCATTGGAACTGTCACATAAACAACACATTGATCACCCCTGACTCAGAAGAGAATACACCTGAGATCCCAGAGATTACATACAAAGAAAGAACTTTCTGCATTATGTCAAGCATAAAGGTACAACCTTCACCCCATGTCAAGATCTAATAAAGTATAGAAATCATGTCTGCATCTAAAGCACCAGCTGTCAATGCTCAAGATCTTATGAATAGAATCTTGCAGCTTGAACAGATTATCAAGAGACTTGGAGAGCAGAACCACAAATTGAAAGATCATAATGAGCAGCTTGAGGCCCAGATCATAGCCATCCCATTCACCAGACAACAGGAAAAGAAAGATAAAGCTAAAGTTAACCCACCAGAACTCTTCAAGAGTAAATAAGAAGAATTACAAGCTTTCTTGAGACAACTACACATCTATATAAATATGAAAGGCAAAAAACTCAGCAACAATAAGAATAAGATAATAATGACAGTATTATATCTTTGCAGAGCAGTATTTGATTGGTTTAACATCTATCTGCAGAATTATTACAAAAAGAACAAAGTTAATCAGAACAACAACATACTTAAGATTATTGACAGTTACAACATCTTTATTCAGACATTGAAAATCACTTTTGGAGAAGTTGAGGAATGAAATATAGCAGCCCAGCAGTTACACCACATATAATAAAAGACATCACCACAGAACTATACCATGAGATTCCAGCAAGTCTCTGTCAACACTGATTAGAATGATGAAGCCTTAGCCAACATCTTCTATCAAGAACTATTTGATGAAATCAAAGATAAAATAGTGTGATTGAAGAAATGATCATGCACTCTGATCAAGATAATTGAAGTGGCAGTCAGGATTGGAAATCAACTTTATGAATAAAAGATAAAAAAGCAAGAAAAAGCACCATAAAAGTAACTCAGTTTATTGAACCACACTGAAAGTCAAGACTGGAGCAAATGTGTACAACCAGATCTTACAGATACACACCCATTGTAGTGGGGATTCCGGTACCTCATTAGGACAAAGATTATTCCAGTCCAAGGCGCAAACCACCCCAAAGCTACTATCCTTGAGCTATATAAACCACCTGTAGCCCCTGCTTCTTGCTTATTACCTTCATGCACCATTGCTCTTTTCTACACACTCATTCCTTACTACAGTTTGGTTATTAGTTAGAGAATATGAAGATTTCTTGTTCATAAAATGTGCTACTGTTCCTCATTAGAGCTGCCTGTATTAGTATGGGGCTCTTTAGTACTATTACTCCTTGCAAGCTTAGGTGTCTGTTAGAACATATCTATCTCTACACTTACTACTCAACCATACCCTTACTATGTGGTGATTTTTCATCTTTCTTGTGCTCTCACCATATCAACCAACTCACTTACTTTGATGAGGCATCCTATTGTACCCTGCTCCATTTCGTGACCAAGCTGAGACCTGAAGATAATAATGCAGTGATTTGGTGACTACCAAGAAAGAGAAAAACAAATTCTGAGACACATGAAGTGATACACTATTTCAAGGTAAGATCTTATGGACTAGAAACACAGTACTAATCAGTTTTTTTATTTAGAAATAAGGTTAGGGAGCTTAGATTTGAATGCCTCTTATCTAAAGCTAGCCCAATAAACAGGTTTTTGGAAGATATTGACTAATAGATAGAACATACTGTGTGACTTAACCAAAGATCAAGAGATCAAGAAATTGGAATCAGAATCAACTATGGCTGAAGGTACTACAGGATCATATGTAACTATGTTACAGGGTGAGAACAAGAGAATTGTGGTTCATTCCCACATTCCTATGTCTTCTCCTGGCATGGCAAATGCACCTTGATTTGACAGCAGAGATGCTACCCTGTTTATTGAAAGGTTTTATCAGATGTGCAAGGATCATGGGGTAATTGACTCTAAAAACATTATTGAATGGTTGGCTAGGTACTGTGTTACATGGATTGGAGAATGGATGAAGACCTTGGAAGACTACAAAAAAGATAATTGAGAAGTATTCTCCAAAGAAATTATTCATGAATTTCATGATCAAGACATTACTTACAAGATTCACTGTTGGGATTACCTCCAGGCAATTACAAAGAAACTGTGTGCTTGAGATGGCAACATTTGCACCTATGTTTAAGAATACACTACTATCACCAGTACAGTTCAAGCAAATGGAAGGCTTGATGAATTCACTAAGATATCTTGGTTTCTTCAGAGGCTACCTGAGAAGCTTCAGAATAAGATTATTGACAAGGTCAAGCTCAATCTTTCAGATGATATGTTGCCTATTAATTTTAGGAAAGTTGTTTGGGTGACTATGGATTTGATTGACCAGTATAAAGAGAATAAGAAGGTCTTTGAAGAAGATGAAATAAAACAAAAGAAAATGGAGAAGTTGGTGAGCAATATTAATTAGCTAACAAGCCCCCTACAGTTGAAGCTTTAAAGAGAACAGCTAGTTTTGCAAAGACTGAAGAATCTGA